CTTTTAAGCTGCACTCCCTCCCGAATAACCGCATCTCTACCGGCTTCATCGGGTCCAGAGCAGAAGGCGGGATTGCAACGTCCATCTTTCTCACTTAGCCCAAAGGTGGCTGCAGAAGAAAATACAGCCAGAAGCCCCTGAGGGAGGTAAGGGAAGATTCAATTTACACTCCCAATCTCATTGTGCTTTTCTATCCCACACCAGTTTCTAAAAAGTTCCCCGAAGGGGCTTGGTAACGCAGCCCTATGGGCAGCAAGACCCATCACGGATAGAAGCAAAAAGGTATTTAGACAAGAAAGAAGGATTGCTGACTGACCATTTAAAATTGCATCCACAGAGGACAGAAACCTGAAGCAGTAATTAGTTCATTATTAAAGTTTGTAATGAGAAGTCTGCAGTTCTAAGGGAGTCCAAAAATTAGGTTCCCAGTACAAAAAAAAAAAAAAAAAAAATCAGTGTGCTGATCTTCCCCACATTGCATGGTTCTACTCCCAGAAAATATGAAACAGACTGAAACATCTGACAATTTTTTTTTTCAACATGGTTATTGAATTTCATGGAGTTAAATTTGTAAGGAAAGCTACGACACTCTGAAGTAACAATATTTTTTACAATGCAAAACTAGCAGCCTAAAAACATATTGCCTTGAACTCCCTGATGCATTTGGAAACAGCTTCCCAAATTGTTCCTGGTTTATTTTTAGAACAGATATTTCATTTACAATCGGCATACTATTTATTGGCACACTCTAATAGAATTGCATTTTGAAAAAGTCACTGTGTTTGACGTACTTGAATATTCATGCACTTCTGCCTCCACGGTCCACCGCACGTTACGTGACCCCTTCTGTTGCGTTGACCCGAGGCCCCGCAGCGCAAGCAGAGGCTCTTGGTGCGGGGCAGCTCCCCCCCCACCCCCCAGCTCCCAAAGCCCCCAGCCAGGCCAGGGATGGGGCACAACCCCCGGAGAGGAGGGGGTCGGAAGGGACCGCCTGCATCCCCTGAACTCCTGGCAGGGCGCTCGCATCCCCGCTTCCGAAGGGCGATGAAGTGAAATAGCAGAGAGATGTGGACCAGTTCGAGCCCTCCCCCAGGGCAGCCCCTGCCAACCTGGGGGGGGAGCTCGTCTGCGTTGGCATCCAAAGGGACCCCGACACCCGGCCGCGCTCCGGCGCGCCTCAGCGCGGGGTCTGACTCGCTCCTGACGCCGGGACCTCGGGACGCTCTTGACCCCTTTTCCCGGAGGTGACTCACGGAAGGTCCCCCACGAAGTTCGCGGCAATGACGTTTACCGAGCTCGGGTGTAAAATCCTCCACCCCCCCTGCTCCTCTAAACCCCACGCTTGTGCCGGGCAGTCGCACCTCTCATTAGGTCTCATTTCGGAAGAGAAATCCTCACGCACTCGGCCTCAGGAGACACACAGCCCTTGCTGGCAATTCCAGCGCCCGCCGCCAGCGCATCGGCATGTCCCGGGTGACTCGGAGCCAGTGGCCACCCCCCCCCCCTCACTCCCCCCCAACTGCACCCGAGCCTCAGCAGCCCCGACAGCTTCGCTCCATCGGCGTGAGCACATCAGGCCGAAGCAGGCAGGGTCAAGCATCACGGCTTCCCCTCACTCCAGCACCAGCGGGAACTCGGTGCCATCCCACGGCTCCGGGGAGAATCCCCCCCCCACACCCCAATTAATCCCATCATCTTTTCTCAAAGCTGAAATTCAAGGATACGTGGGGTAAGAGATGCAGAGGCAAGGGGAAAGACTTTTGCTTTCACCACACAGGAAAAAACCCAAGCCTAATCTAGAGCCATCACTTTTTTTTTTTTTTTTTTTTTTTTTTTTCAAAAAGAAAGCTGCAACAAAACTTCAAACAGTAATTACATGGATGAATTCAAACCAGAGGACCTCGGTACCATTTTCCCCTGCTGAGCCACCTGTAGGCACTCGCTGAAGATGCTCCCAAACCTCTGTGCTGGATTGGGAACGGGCGGGTGAGCTGCATGGAGAGGTAGCGTGACCAGAAGAGAGGAAGATGACTAGCTGAGATCTCACCCATCCTGGAGAGAAAGCCCCTTCAGCATCAGTAGCTGGCTGAGGGAACCCCGCTGTGCTCTGTATGAGCTACAGATATCTATTTTCTCCCTACACTAAGGTAGAGTACAAATACTTCTCTTCCAAGATACTGACAGAGAAATGTAAACACCCATACGATTTCTTTTGCAGAGGCCTCCACAGATGGAAAGAGTTCTCATCTACAGGATGTTTGGGAAAAGCCAGTTTGGGGATGAAAAGCAATGTTGGAGAGCCATTCCCCCACCCTCACCACGCCGCCCCGGGCAGCAAAACCTATCGTGACCCAGGAGAAGTGAGCTGGCTGCAACAGCTCATGCATTTGAGAAAGTATTTATATTAACAAGTGTTTTGTGGTTGGGTAGTTGGTTGGGTTTTTTTTTTTCTTTCCAATAACTTAAAAGCTTCTCACCCACCCTCACGCAACAGTGCTTCGTTGCTTAATCGGTCCAGCTCTCCTCCTCTCTCTTAAAATAGTTCTTTCTTTTTTATTTCTCTCGGGCTGGGACATATTCTGAACTGCTTTTTGAGGGGGGAGAGGACAATAAGGAATAGTTTTATTGCATGAAAAATCCATGTAAAGAAGGCAGGACTGAGCTGTAAAATCCAGTAAAATCTCTCGCAGTATGTACCCATTCCTGCTTTCTGGAGGATTTGGTTAAAAAGCAATTTTGAACAGATGCTTAGTCACAATACATTAAAATGTTTAGATCTATATAATAAATCTCTCTACATGCAGAAACTGCCCAAAATTCTTATTTCCTGCAAACTCCATTACGTAATGTATCACCAAAGATTTTGCAGGTATTGTGGCACTATACAAAAGGCTCCCGGTGCCCAGGATTTCCTTCCGAGCGAGACCTCTGCACAGAGCGCCCAGGCTTTGCTCTCGAACGAGGTTCAGCATAAAACAGCTGGCTAATTCCAATCCACAGGCTGGGGGGGGGAAGTCTACGGCAGATCCGCGTCTGCTGAACCGGTACTTCAGCAGAACTTCAGCACCGCTCGCGTCCCTCCGAGCTCCTCGGCTCCAGCTCAAGCAGAACATGAGATCATCTGTTTTGCAGCCCAGGAAGGGGTGTTTGTAATGCAAGAAGTCTCGAGCAGAAATAAGTACAGCGTACCCAGACGGTGCCAAGCCTGCTCGCGCACACGAGCGAGGCTGCTTCCTCAGCGGGAGCGTTTCAGGAGGAAAACCCGCATGTTCAAGCCGCACGAATTGTCAGGGATTCAGCACACCGCTGAATCCAGGAGCGATACAAGTTGCATTTTAATTTGCCAAGAGGGGGAGGCGAGCATGGAAGATAAAACCAGACCCTTAGTGGGGGGGTTTTGGGTGGGTTTTTTTTTTTTTGTTTGTGTGTGGTTTGGTTTTTTTTTTTTTTTTTTTTTGTGTGTGTGTTTTGGGTTAGTTTGGTTTTTTGTTTTTTTTGTTTTTTTTTTTTCCTCGGGAAAATGGAGAGGACCGAGCCCGGCTGGGCAGTGCAAAGGGCAGCAATGGGAGAAGGCGCATCGCTCCGTTTGTCTTGCACGCGACGGCCGTGCCGGGCACCGACAGCCAGATGGGAACAAGGAGTAAAGAGGGTTGCTGACAGCAGTGAGTGGCTTTGCCATGAAAACCTCACAAGTTTCCAGCTGGGAAAAGCGGGGGATCTCTCCGCCCGCTGCACAAAAATAAAAATACTCCCCCCACCCCCCCAACCACCACCTTCCGCATGCGAAGGCGTAGGATAGGAAGCGAGAAACTCCGCTGCTCACGATGCATCTGGTGGCGGTTCTGGCGCTGTCGCTGCGCCCGCGATCGCTGCCGAGGAGCCCCCGGTGCTCGCTGCCGGGCCCGGGGGGCTTCACCCAGCGCCCCGGCCTCGGGGGGACACCCCCCTCACCCCCCCCCTCGCCTTGCCGGGGGACCAAAGCCCGGCCAGCTGCCGGGTTTGGGGCGCTGGAGAAGGGCAGGAGGATGCAGCCGGGACACACACACACACACACACAAACACACGGCTGTCCGTGTCCCGACAGCCGGCGAGGCTGAGCCCGGGGAAGGTGGAAGGGGGGGTAGCGGGGTGGTCGGTTTGGGCGGGGGGGGGGGGGGGGGAGGGGGGAGCGGAACGGGGCGGGCGCTGCAGCGCATCTCCCGCGCACCCACGCACGGTTTAACCCGGCGGCTCCGCTCCGTCCCTCGGCGCTCGCCGGGAGCCGCCCGAGCCTCGGCCGGCAGCGCGGAGCAGCGCGGAGCAGCGCGGAGCAGCGCGGAGCAGCGCGGAGTTCCCTGCCCAGCCGCCCCCGGCTCACCCCCCCCCACCCCCCCACCCCCCTCCGCCGACGGCCGCGCTCCCCTTCCCCTCGGGCCAGCCGCGGCTCCGGGCTGACTCCGCACCCCGCGGAAGGGCAGAGGGGGCTCGGCCCCGCTCTCAGGTGCCCGGAGTTGCCCAGCGGAGACCCGACCCCCCCCCCCCCCTCCCCCCCGGGCCGGGGGCGGCTGCGGCGCTGCCAGCACCCTGCCCTCGCACAGCGCGGAAATTTCATGCGCGAAACCCGTCCCGGCCGTGCCCCCGCGTCTCTGCCGAGCCATATTTCTCTCTCTAAAGCAAATCCATCTCGATCATCGTCTTTTTTTTTTTTTATTATTTTATTTTTTCTCCCCCCCCCCCTCCCCCCGCCCCCTCCTTTCCCTTCACGGATTGCTTCTTGCAAACGGGGCGATAAATCCAGAAAGTGCCACGCAGCGTGGAGAAGAGAGAAGGGGGAGGATGCTGAACCAGAGAGGGTGGCTGGGAGGGGAGCAGGATGCTCCGGAGGGGAGGCAAACGAAGCACCTGAAGGGGCACGAAGGGAGTTGGCGGCCGCGGGAGCTTCCACCGCCCGTCCCCGGCGGCTGAGCCCCGCGGCCCGGCCCGGGATGGAGCCCCGCGACCCGCCCGGCCCGCAGCCCTACCTGGAAGAGCCGGAGGATGTTCGCCACCATAATGGACACCGAACTTCCCGACGCCCCGATCACTCCAACTACTTTTTCCGGCTTGACGAAGACGGGCGGCTCCCCGTTGGTGCACCTCACGTCGGAGGTGTCCTTTTGGATGAGAGCCTGGACGAAGGTGAGGGACTGCTCCAGCGCGTAGGTGTCGCGGGAGCAAGTGTCCAGGATGCGAGCGCCCAGCGTGACATTGGGCAGCAGGTCCGGGTCGCTGTTGATCTGGTCCAGGGCGTAGAGCATCGCCTCCAGCCTGTGGATGCCGTTCTCCTTTTTGATGTCCCCGCAGGGCACGCCCGGGGGGCCCTTGGCGTGGACGGGGAAGAGGCCGCCGAGGGTGATGTCCCCCTCCAGCCGGATGGAGTGGGGCGCGTACATCTCCTGCCCCAGGGCCGCCTCCGAGAGCAGGAACTCCAGCAGGCAGCAGGGCAACTTCAGCAGGGTCAGGAGCCGCAGGAGCTCGCCCAGCCGGACCATGGTGGCTCCGCCCGGGCGCTGCCCCGCGCTCCCGCCCGCCTTCATCCAGCCCGGAGCGGGAGGAAGGAAAGGGGAGAAGAAGGGGTGGGAAGGGGGTGGGGGGGGGGGGGGTGGGGGAAGGTGGGGGGGTGGGGACCGGGATGGGGTTGGGGGGAAAGGGGAAAAGGGGAAGGAAAGGGGGGGGGTTTCGGTTGCTCCCGCCCGCCCTGGCCGCGCACGGCTCCGCCGCGCTCCGCGGCAGCTCGGCACTGGGGGAGCCGCGCCGAGCCGCTACCGCTTTAAATGGTGGCCGGGCCTCTCCGCCCCCTCCGCCGCCCCGCCCGCCGCTGCGCAGGATGCGGCCGCGCCGAGCCCGGGGCTGGTGATGGAGCCGGGGAGAGAAGCGGGGGGGGGGGGGGGGGCTGGCCCCGGGGAACGGCGAGGGGGGGGGCTACAGGTTAGGGGGGGTGCGGACCCCCCCCCCCCCGGAGCCGCGCAGGGGGAGAAGCGGGGCAGCCGCGCTCCGCGGAGCGGGAGGGATGCGCGCCTGGGTGAGGTGAGGGGACACGCACACACACACGCACACACACACGCCTGCTCAGCCCCGCTGGAGCATCCTCCTCCTCCTCCTCCTCCTCTTCCTCCCGGCGGGGCAGCGGAGCGGAGCTGGCGGGGTCGTGTCCCCTCCTCGCCCCCCCACCCCAACCCCTCCCGGCCCCCCTCCGCGGGCAGCGGGGCGGCCGCGGGTTTCCGCGGGTGCGTAGAGCCAGCGCGCCGGAGCCCGCCGCCCGAGAGCTGGAGCATGCCAGCAAGGCTCTCGCATCGAAACCCGTAATCCGGATTTTTGACATAGAAAAAGAGATCCTCCTCCCCGCTAAGGTGGATACCAATGGAGCCGGTGAGGAGGAGGAGGAGGAGTTTGGCTGTAACCCCATACTCCCAAAACCGAAGTAATGCGGCTGATGTTCTATTTTAAGATCCCCAGACCCATTTTTGTTCGGCACACAGAGATCGCCAGGATGCTGGAACACCCCGCGTTTGTTCCCTTCATCCCAAAACTGCACTACCCGAAGAGGCTCCACCTGTTGCCATTCCCTGCTGACCAGCAAATCCATGTCACGTCCCCAGATCCAGGGTAGTGCAAAACACAGCTCCGACACCTGGTTCCCGCCAGACCGAGCGCATTTTTTGGAGACAACCTTTAATTCCTCCTTCATAAACACCAGCTGAAGTGTAGCTGCGGTTCGGCGTTTGGCCCCTAACACGCACGGGACCAGCGGCACTGGGTGCGTGGTGGTTCCACCTCCCCTGCTGCAAGCCTTACCCCCCCAAGAGACAGCTACAGAGACCGCTTCATTTCCAACATATTGTATTTCACTGAAGTCAGAGTAACACAACTGTTACTGTTGTAACAGTAAAAAACATCAGTAAAAACTGATGTTTTTTACCCATTTCAGCCTGGCCAAGTTTTATCTTCCAGCACTGCAACATTGCAGCGCGACTGGTCTGGCAGCCTGAAGTGGGGGGGCTTTGCTGGGCAGGTCTTGACTGAGATGGAGCTGGCTCGGGGTTAGTGACACAGCTACAATAATTATTAAGGCATTTGAAAAAGCTCTGCAGTTTTAAAATTGTACCCTTAGCATATTTTTCAACTTTTTTTTTTTTTTTTTCTTTCCCTTGTACGTTGGTTCTCTGTGTGCGCTTGTATTGGGCAGAAGTCACTCCAACCAAGGTTTCCAAACCGGTGCTGTTCGAACATCGCCACAACCAGAGAAGGCATATGGAAGTTCTTTGGTGAAAGGGGATGTTTGGAGAGCAGCAGGAGAACTGGACAGACATAGCAGGTTGGAGGATTTTGCAGTAAGGCCAGGGTACAACAAGCACAAACAGCAATAAAAGCAGCTGGAGTTCCCCACTAGAAATTATAATTTGGGAGCTTGGAACCAAAATTTAGGTTTTTTTTTCATGGACGGAAAACATCATGAGAGATTATTTCATTGTAATTTGGGGATCGTGAGCCAGCTTGTGGCATCACCCGGGGCCTTGTTTATCATTTTGGTTCATCACTGGATGAAAGCTCAGCTCCTCTTTCCCGACAAACCCCCGCTTGACCAGCACCATCACGCTGCGAGTGGGAAGTTCACGTGCAGGATGAGGCCCCGGGGCAGGTCCCACACTCTGGGCACTTGGCTGCTGCCTCCCCACACCCCCAGGATCAGGCCCCCGCTCCCCTTCCAGCCTCTAGCAGTCAGCCCACAGCTTCACCAGTGCCCATTTGCCGTCCCTCCTGCTCACACACACCTTAACTCTTTACACCAGTTCATCCCCTGCCCAAGCGTGATTTCCTTCTCCGCTATTCCCCGGTAACATCAGCTCCATCCCCTTCGACACCTGAACGGGCGCCGTTAAAGTGTAAAGCTCTTCAGCGTTTATTTACCTCTTGCCCACTTACAGCTCCTCTTTGAGAGTCTTAGCTGTATTTATTGTTATTAAAAAATCTGACTCTAGTGGTTGGAGAGAAGAGTTTGCAAGCATGACTCAAGTTTGCCTTAAGTGCTCATGATTCAGAAAGGCTGGAAATATAAATCACCTTTTCTAATAAATCTCATTGTTTTGCAGGAAGCTATAATTTTGAAAGCTTCCTGTTGTTTGTTGTGTTTTTTGTTGTTTTGTTGTTTGCTTTTTTTTTTTTTTTTAATTTTATTTTTTCCCCTTTGGGCAAACCCACAGTTAAATTCAACATGTTTATCCTCTCAAAATTACAGAAACCCCATCTGCTGTCTACCTCACCCTCCTTTTCCTCACACTCTGATTTACCTAAACAATTAGCCTGCGTATTCCACACCAGATTCCCTAAGGGAACATAGGCAATGACACAGTTGATCGCGGCGGACCCGGGGTCCAGCCTGGCCCAGTATCTGTCTCAGAATAACAGCAGACATGTCAGGAGAAAAGGCAGGAGCTCTGCAGCATGCAGATGTCTTTAATCTGTCCCCACCATAAGTCTCATCCTGGTCTCTCATATATAGAAATTGGTTTAAGCCCTGAAGCATGAAAAATTATTCTAATTACATTACCAAAATTGATATAGTTAATCATTACCCTGAATATTCTTGATATCCATAAAAGTTCCCAGTCCCTCTTCCGCTTTTGCTAAGTACTTGGCTTCAGTGGCCTCCTGTGAGTACGAGCACCACTGTTTTATTGGATATCGCCTGCAAAAAACCTGTTTATCAATTTCCTGCTTTTTAAGTTTAACTCTTAAAATAGCCTGTAATCTCCCTTTCATCGTACCTGATCTCCATCCACTGTGTGCAGTCAGCTACCTACATTCAATCTGGCCCTCTCAGACAAGAAACTAAATATAATAGCCTGTGCATCTGTCACTGCCATATTTTACTTGGAAGAAGCATTTCATTTTGCTTTGGATTACTGAATACCTGGAGGTGAGACAACTCTGACTAAATACCACGGTGAGCGTATCACACCTGCGCCGCGTAACAGCCCGTATCCTACTGAACCTAAAAAAAATCCTCCCCTCCCTGACACTAAGTGGATTCAACAAGCAGTTCCTAAGGAAAAATGACATTACGTCCACTCGAAAGTGAACTCACCCACTCCATCAGTGAGAATTTTGAGTTAAGACATACTAAATCACATCGAAGCGATAGCCCTAATCTGAAATGACTCTCAGAAAGCCAACGTTATTACAGTAAAACAACATTTCGTGTATTTAATGGGAATATTGGCAGAAGCATGTGGGAATGGTGGGAAAGTTGTTGCAGTGTGATTTTCTGTATTTCGCTTCACGATTGGTCCTTCCTTTACCAAACCAAATTCCCAGCAGAGGCCACGTGCTGTAGGACCTGGCACCCCGACGCCCACCCGTGTCCCTGGCACCCACGGGGACGCTTCCACTGCCTGCACGCCTTGCGGTGCTGGGGACACGCTCCGTCTCCCCCCACACCCTCCCAACCACCCCACCCCCCACCCCGGTGAAGGTTTGCTTCGCAAAAAAACCCCAAACAAACCACAAAGCAAAACAAAACTTCACCCGGAAAAAAAAAAAAATAAAAATCCCAAGCCTGATCTTTTTAGCAAGAGAATTTGTTTAGAAATAAACAGTGGTTAAACACATCCAAAAGTATACTCAACAACATTTCTTAACTTGTCTGTCAAATAAGATGGTGGATTCAGCCAAATTGCTAATGGATAAGCAAAGACTTTGCCAGAAAGAAATCAGCATCATAGCTGGCATCCTTCGGGGGAGAGACGCAATTTCCATCGCAGGAGGATCTTACCCGCATCTACTTTCAAAGATGCTGTGTGATTAAACATTGCTTTTATGTGGGCAACTGGCAGAGTGAACACAGAAATCGTGTTATAACCGACCAGTGGAAACAAAACAAAGAGCAATGGACTAGCAGAAAGGAGAAATGAAACAATATTTCAAATTTTGGTAATGTAGCGTGACGCTACCGTGCACAGTTGGAGGTCATTTTGAACAACTGTAATGGACATGGTACAAGCAATTAATTTGTTGGGTGAAGTCAGTGTTAGGATGGAAGCCAGAGCTCCTGCTTATCTGGTGTTCAGAAAATAATGAATTTTTGGAGCAGAGGCCAGTGGAAAACTCTGATCCTTAACTCAGTGCTTTGCTGTTGCTGTTTACAAAGAGAAGGTGTCAGTGTGGCTCTGGTTTCCAGGGAGGACAAGGAACAGCAAATTCTCATCGAGGATATAGTAGCTCGGATCTCTTGCTCCATCTTAATTTATCTAAGGTAAAGTTTACTTTTATATTTATATCTTATTATAAATTAGCGAATTATAAATTATTAAAGTGTATTATACAAGATAAATAAATTATAATTCATAATACCTAGTAAGTTAGAAAATCTACAATACACGTTACGGATTGTTCCCAAGCCTATGAAGAAAAAAAATGCAATGAGTACTTTGTGCTAAACCGCAAAGTATCTGGGCCAGGTTCTCTGTTGCAACCCGCTCGTGTGACCCGGTATAAACCCAAAGCAGCGCGGCTCTGAGAGCGAACCTCAGCCGCGCTACAGGGAGGAACCTTTCCCTTTCCTCGATGCAAAGATTTACCCGTACACGGTTATTTTCCCTTTTCAGTCACCTCCTGGGTCCTGCCTCCTGTGCACAAG